AATAAACTATCAATATCAGTATGCTAAATATCAATCAAACACTCTTTAGGGGAATTTAAAATTGCCCTATAGGGGAAGTCAAAATTTTGATTTCAACTGGCATTCTTTCAGGAGAACTCGAAATTTTTGATTTCTCCTAGTCCAACTCAAAATTTTGATTTCCCCTAGGGGAGTTTTAAATCGCCCTAGATTTTGATTTCCACTGCAGCAACATATATGTACGTTTATAGGAAGCATGTTTAATCAAAACGTTAGAAAAGGATAGATTGCTCCACGGGCTTATCAATGTGCTTACCCACGTGATATAAACGTATACATATACTCTCGCCACGTGTGTGATCGATGATACGAACGTTTTTTTCTCATTTTAAATAAGACGTCAAACAGTGTCTGTTATATAAGGTACTTGTTTAGACTAGAAAATAAGACCTATTTAGATAAGGGAACAGAGAGCTGAATTTACTAGCTGACTCGCTATTTATGCTGATTTTTCGCTATTTTTCTGATTAGCGATGATCAGTTCGATTATGTTTGACGCACGGAGGGTTGGAGCTCAGCCATTCCGCCTCATTCGCAGAATATCAGTTTGACTCTAATAACAAAATGATCCTAGCGATAATATCTACGGATATAATTATATGCTCTGCAAGTCCAAGCGTGAATGTTTTCTTCACATATGGCAAACCTTACCTTACGGTAAAACTCACAGGCGAGCTATGAAACATTTAACCACTCTCACTTTTATTCTGAGATCAAATTCCAGTTATATGGCAAACCATAATTGAGAAATAAATGAGAATAGACTATTCATATGGTTCTTATGACAAGTAGAAAGGATTTAGACAAAGAGAGGGCGTATTAATAAAACTGCTGTGTACAAGTTTGATCTCAACTTCAAAGTGAGTCTGAGGTGAATGATTGAGCCTGACTGCATTATGTTTCCGAAGAGAAAACCGGGTAAAACACGGTGAAATCAGTGTTTCAGCTACCTTAGGACGTTGTACCTAGTGAAAATGATACCTATTTAGATAGTGGAACAGAGAGCTGATATTACTGTGTACAGTCTCTGAATTTACTACCTGACTCGCTATTTATACTAATTTTTCCTTTCCAGATAGTGATTATAACAAGACCAAAGCATTGTCTGCTCGCATTAAAATTTTGATTGCACTATGCTCTCGAAGAAAAGTCCGAGGAAAACATAGTGCAATCGTAGATAACAAACGGTGACTGGAAAAATGTGGAACTAGTACGTATCGGTGCAACATAGCATGCCGTTCGCACTCGTAGTGCTGGACTTTTTCCAGTACTATACTGGGATTTTTCTGTAGGAGAATCTTATAAGAGTCTTGCAAGAAGCTTATAAGAAACTTATAAGAATAACGTACGAGTTTTGTCGACTCTTACCAATTTCTGATGAATTCTTGTGAGATTCTTATGACATTCAGCAGAATTCTTGTCACCTTCGTGGAAGAACTTATGTAAGGATTGAGTAAGATTCTTATAAGATGCTTGGAAGATTCTTGAAAGATCTTCTATAAAAAGAACCGATGACTAGGGCTGCTATCGTCTCGATCAACAATCAATGACTGATTTTTTTCTTATCTTAGTAACATCCTTACGCAAATATCTGTGCGTCGGAAGAAGCTTCTGGGTGTGTCATACCCATCTCCTTTTATTTCAATAATCGAATCAGAAAAAACAAAAAACTTGCTTCTTGTATGGAAAACCTCACAATATATAGACGTGAGAGCGAGAGAGAAAAGAATCTGAACACAATGAATGTAGCTATGATAAGAGAAGGAATGATGATAGAGAGAAGGAATGATCATAGAGAGAAGGAATGATGATAGAGAGAAGGAATGATGATAGAGAGAAGGAATGATCATAGAGAGAAGGGATGATGATAGAGAGAAGGAATGATCATAGAGAGAAGGGATGATGATAGAGAGAAGGAATGATCATAGAGAGAAGGGATGATGATAGAGAGAAGGAATGATGGCAAAGAGAATGCTATTTGGGAGAGCCATGACTTATGTCAGTAACGACTGACATAACACTTCCCCCGGTGTTTTAAGATAATAACCACAGGTACACGTGAAAATTGAAAGGCAAAATGACTGCAATAACCGAGATAAGAAAAAGGATACATATATTCCAAAACAGAAGAGGAGCTGCTAAGATTAAAACCATACGTGAACATAAAAAGAAAAGTAAACGAATAAAACTAGAATAAAACGCAACACCGGTCCATAATAATCAGGAGCTGCCACCATCCTTGAGATAGCCCAGGACCGTGATCAGAGATTCGAAAAACATGTAGATTAGCTAGAAGACACGTTCATATACAGGACGTAGATTATTTACACTTTCCCGGCTAGTGCACCATTGTTATACCCATCTCCTTTTATTCCAACAATCGAACCAGAAAAAACAAAAAACTTGCTTCTTGTAGAGAAAACCTCACAATATATAGACGTGAGAGCGAGAGAGAAAAGAATCTGAACTCAATGAATGTAGCTATGATAAGAGAAGGAATGATAATAGAGAGAAGGAATGATGGCAAACAGAAAGGTCTTTGGGAGAGCCATGACGTATGCCAGTAACGACTGACATAAAAGGGTGTTATTCTTTTCAGAGACTTCTCCATTCATTTGCCTAGGCAGGAAGCAACTACATAATTTTCATTTTTTGAGACATATATATTCAACAAAATAGTTTCGATTTAGGGTGTTCGCTCAAAATATGAAGTATTTTTCTATTGAACTGCCAAATGCCTTAAGGAGGAAGGAGGAACCGTAGCCTTAAAAGACATCAAAATGCTTATGTTCTGAATGTATCAGGTGATTTCCGTTAATTTATGTATTTTGTATTATGCCATTTATTCAATAAACATTCTTAGTAAACTTAGAATGATCAATAGCTTATATGTTCCTGTTTATTTTCAACGTTATCGAAATCGAAGGGATATGAGGAAGCATGTTTCTTCTGAAGTTCGGTAGTAATCCAAAATTCAGACAAAAATGTGTTTGTACATCTTGGGCAGGGGGAAATAAATGATAACGGAGTGTCGGTTATTGTTACGATGAACATCATATTAAAGAAACCGAAAAGTTTAATTGAACGAGATTGATTTAAGAAATGATCCTCGATCAGAGTCGTATCCAACAAATGTTACCCTTTCATTGTTGTGCCATTATCTTATTTATTCGTTATTCTGTCCTATTGTCATTTGACGTTGTACTGTATATAATGATTGTCCATCATTTCTTGTTGTTGATACTAGGTCTTGTCGAAAATAATTACGTAAAAGATTGCTACCAAATAAACGTTTAAGTATTAAATCAATAACTCTAAATAATTCAGTACGATATAAACGTGCACTCAATGTATAAATATAAAAACTTGTACAATAACTAAAGAATAATGGTAAAACAGTTAAGGCTGCCACGAAAGTTATTATGTCATTCACATAGTTTAGGATTACTAAAATTAACTGCATTATGGCGAACGGCATCACTAATAAAACTTCTGTTATTATTTGAATTAGAAGCATTCTTGACAATTGTTTATCACGTTTTTTTCCACGGCTAATATTAACAGTACTTGGTACTATACGTTGACGATGTTGTCGAATACTTAGTATAGTTAATAGACCAAATGTTCCCATTAGAACAGGTGGTAGAAGACAATAAAATATTAGATAGAACAATGCATAAAACGTTGCATATGTACCGGGACGTGTATAACAATAAGTTATTGGTATAAAGGGAATGGTATTAACTTGAAAATAAATCGCCATATGCATATAAATCAACAATGTAAATAAAATTGTCATTGAAATTGCACGATAAGCAACTGTACGATTACTAAATCGACGGATATTCGGATTTGATGAACTTACACAATATCGATCTATAGAAGCTAATACTGTAAAATAGGGTGATAAAGCAAAAAATATATATGAAAAATAATAACGTATTTTACAAAATGCCATTGAATTACTTGTTGGATCAATTGAAAAGCCATCAGATAATAAACGTGTTATTAAAGAAAAATACAAGACAAAAAAATTATTAATAGCTGATGCAAGAAAATAGAGCGAACAAGGTGATGATCGAAGTGATTTACGACTAAATATAATAACATTAAATACGTTACCAGCAGGGAACTATTTAAGTATTATGTAAGCAACTATAGGTGGTTTGATGTATCTGATACAAGTAAGAAATGGAGAGAGACAAATTTTTGATGGCATTTCGAGAAATATAAATAGATAAAATTTGAAATCGGTTCGGAAAATCTTGACCTGATGGAATTGCCTAGTAATGAATCCATGGACAAGACAGTTGACTTAAAGAATATTTTATTCCAACTTGGAGATCTATCTAAACTAATAAAGCATAATGAGAATTCCTATACACAAATAACACAATGAAGAAATTCTAAAACAAAGATACAGTGTGCCCTCTATGAGGTTGAACTTGTTCCATTTATAGACAGAATTTGTCCAATGGGAAGAGAGGAGAAAGGCTATAACCTATGGTATCGTACAACTTCTGTGAAATATAGAGCATAATAGAACTTCTTAAGTATGGCAAGATGAAAACAATTTTTAATTTGTTTGGTGACTTGTAGCGAGTTAGCCAAATTTAAAAAATTATGATTTCCGACAAAATGAAACGATAAAACTAACACTATTCTTAATTCATGATGTATCTAACAGTATAACTTAATTGGCTGTCCAGTAATTTGAATATCGAGAGGATCTGTCTTAAAGTACCAGCTGTAGAAGCATTTTCAGACAATCCTACTCTAGTTAAATGTTGCACAATAGAAAAGAAATGAAACAACGCGCTCTTTAATTTACTGATTTCAACCTGTTTGGAATCCTCTCGAATATCATCCAATACTCATTTCGGTTGAAGTCATCTAATCTACTGTATCTGAATTAAAAGGTTAAAGAGATGACATATTATTCCTAATGCTAAGAACGTACAAATAGTTTTAATATGATTAAAATACTTCGTCATATATTATATTTCATTATTCAATCCATCAAAAATCAGACTTGCAGTTGAAACTTGGTTTTAGACCAATCACAATCTAAATTATATGTGGAGTATTCTGATTCGTCATCCTTTGAATTTCGCACTTACAAAGCATTAAAAAGCTTATTTTCC